TCCCCAGTGGCATGTTTCTTACGTCAATCTTCTACATGGTCATTGAGGCATCATATAATTGACTCAATAGACCATCCCAATTTTATTTCTTTTCCACTCCCATTCATTCTTCTTGCAAATGCCTTCATCTTCTTGCCGGTTAGCTGTAATCTGGCCTATGTAGCTGCTCTGAAAACTGGACAGAGAAAGTTTTTACAAAGTCTGTTTGCACCACGAAAGTGTAGACTCATTGTTTCGCTTAATCCCTGTTCTACTGACCTTATGCGGGTCTCCATCCGACCGATCTTCACTTTCCTGCTATCCAGGCCCTTTTTCACATAATTGCGAGATTTATGCGCATACCTTGTGCATAGCCTGCATTGCTTGTTCAGCCCACTGTACTTTCTACTGGCCGCTAGTGTTCTCATGTCTTGGCACCCTTCGGAGCCCCGTTAACTGTGATATTCGATTCATAAGGCACAAGTCTTCTTTTCCTTTCCTCTCCCATGCATAGGCCATGTGATTTTTATGTACATACTTTCTGAGGCTGAAGAGAATTCAACTTATTAGTAATAAAAGTCTGAAAATATCCCTTTTTGCTCCAGCTAGGGCAAATAGTCGAAGTCGGTTACTAATAAACCTCATCGATCCTGGGTCTACGTAACACTGTAAAGGAAGCTATAGTGAAGTCAAAATTGGCAAATGCCAGGCAAGGCGATGTTCTTTGCCTTTCTTCCTCCGTGGCTCATGAAAGCCTTTCGCAATTTGGGAATTGAAGCCAAATATGGGGAAGATGTCGACGGTAATCATTTGTACACTTCTGTCTCGTAGCAGCTGGATTGTCCTGCATTTTGGGGCGTTGAGTTTGTTATTGAATAAGTTCCCTTTTGACTCGAAGTTATCCTTTCACTGACGGCGGGAGCTGCTTTGTGAATTAGTCTTTGGAATTGATATTTACTTGCTCTGAGCTTGAATGCCGACTATATTGTTTACAAATAAATGGGAAGCAAGAGGATTCATCTAAAAATGCGGACAACACTCTTGGTCTTGAACATTCTGAATCTGACGCGCCGATTTATTATATGAACGATGACCCTTTGCCATAGTTTTCTTGACTTGTTTGCTTGAATTTTGTTGTGATCATGTTACCTCGCTCTGATGATGTTCGTCATATGAAGGACAAAAGCTTAGCACCTTTTCACCGGAATCGAAGGAGATTGCCTCGGAAACAGTGTCAGCATGAATCTTCCAGTAAAGCCGATCGACAGCTGGTCAAGAGGAATCCGCTGTTGTCTTCTGGTGGAACCGACCTTCGAATCTCTTCACCCAACACTTTCACTCGAAATGGAAGTATGCTCAACAAGACGACGGATGGTTGGTTCAATGATTGCGTGAAGGGTCTCCGAATGGGCTTTATTAGCAAAGAGTAGCGATACTACTGGGGGGTGGGCGTTTCGTTCTACTCCCCTTTCTCTGCTATCCTAGCTCGGCTTTGGTGGCGCAAGCTCTCACGCCAAAGGGGCTGGAAGTAGCTTGAACACCTTCGATGTCGTCGTGCCTGCAACTTCTTGTGCGTTTTTCCCCTACTTCTCCGTAAGCTCGAACTGTCTCTGATCTGATCCGATCCTGACCTCCCAGACGCGTTACTGTCAGACCATGGGCAAACGGCTCGGGTTGCCATGGCGAGAATGTATTCAGTGGCGTGGCGCTGCAAAGGGACGGGAGCGCATGGTCCCTGCGCCTACCCCATAATTTCACAAACGGATTGAGGAGGAGCAAATAAAAGCTTTTTGGTTGTTATTCGCAAGTTCAAGATCAGTCCAGATCGCAAGCGTAAAAACATTCTCATAGCTTGCGATGTATTCACCCTGTTTCGACGACCTGATTAAGGACTGGTAGCTGAATTTATGTCTCTATCCCTCTTAAATCTGTATACCTCACTGTTTGTCCGTTTCTCCATTGCTTTCCTCTCGTAAGTATCTTTAATTGATTCATTATTTTCTTCTTCCTTTTTGTCCACTTCTGGCCGCCTGCCTATATCTCTTTTTTGTGTCTTTTTTATGCATGCTTTTCTGCCCCTCTATTTGCTCCTTCCTTTATTTCCTACATTTCTTCTTCCCTCACTTTTTCCATTTTTTTCTCTCTTGTTTGCCTGCCTGTTTATTTTCTGTATTTATTTTTTGTTTTTTGTTTATAAGTAGGTTTTCGAGACTGCCAGTAGATCATATATATGAGATGTATTCACCCTATTTCGTTAAGGTGATGAAGAACTGGTAGTTGAATTTTCCCAAAATTGCATGAGTAGACCTT